AGTCAGAACTGGCGGTCAGTTTCAGCAGCGGCTGAATCTGGACGCCAGTTCCGACTTACATACAAATTCAACTTAAGAACAAACCTACAGTCCCGGGGACTGCCTGTACCTCTAGTGAGGCACAGGACTCATTTTCTTTATAAAATGCACAAAGCAGAAAAATACTCTCAGGGTGTATTTATTGCTTTTAATTTAGTCAACATTGAGATGCAGTCACACGGAGTTAAGACTCCCCACCCTACTACGTAGCAGGGAGAAAGTCCTGTAACAGAATGCTTGAATCCACTCAACCCAAACAGCAACTCCCCCACAGTACAGCTCTTCCCCACTTCTTAAAACCACCACCAGATAAATTAAACCACCAACTGAAGACAGACATGAGGGCTAGTCCCATGTCATTTCTATGGGCAGGCTTTCATATTCCCAACTCCTTAGGGAGCAGAGGAACTAACGCTAACACATTCCTCACCACTTAGATGATGGGGCTGCAATAGAGCGCGAATGCAGTTTTACAGGAGAATGTGGGACTCAAACACTGGCTCCAGAGTTCACTTTTGGGTATCAGCTACATATTACTCCTCTTGGCGCTGAAGGAGCTAAAAGCATACCTGAGAGTTACCCAGTCTTCCCCTTCTTGCCCCCTGGACTCAGGCCATAGCCTCATTCACATCAAGCAAAGCCAAGTTGTCACTGGCTGTAGTGTTCCGCAACAGGGGCTTGGAGGGTGGAACTACATTAATGAAGACAAATGCTACTCACAGACACTACGTCACAACCATTTTGTACAAGCTCCTCATAGTTCCTAGAGCAGTTCTCCTGCCCCAGCTAGCAAGCCAAGTTCCACGCCCATGGCAGCTCAGAAACTTCCCACTTCACAAGTAGAAAATGTAATCCCCCCCACACTGAGCCCTTTTGCCAGGGGCCTGAAGTTCTCCATTGTAGTGTATTCCAGGTTTTCCCGAGGAGAGGTCAGTTACTGCAAAGTCTGGGTCAAGTGACTCCAGGAAAGCAGTCCCTAACCAAGGAGTCTTCCTATAATGATCCCCTTTCTGGCGGATAGGCCAGGACTATTTCACAGCTTAAAGTCACATGTCACATTCTAAGGCACCCCAGGGACATAAGGCTGGACCAGCCCCAGAGAATGGTTTTCCCCTTGTGGTTCAGCTCTCCTTGGTGCAGCAGGCAGGAAACAGCCCTTTCCATTTGTAAAACATGCCACAAATCCACAGTGAAGCCAGGAGCTCAGACACCCATGACGGTTTGGTCCCATGCTGGAGGGAGAGGTGATGCACGGAGTATGCAGCTGGTGCCCCTGGAATGACCTGCAGACAACTGAAGTCCATCTCCCTTCCACACCATTCGTATGGGATCCAATGAAAAAAAGATAGTCCGGATAGGGTGAGCTGCCTAGGTTGTGTTCTCAGCTAGCTTGTCGCGGCTCAGCCCGTACTGAACGCTCACATTGTGGTCCAGCTCTTCCAGCTCAGAAGGGAGGGGGATTCCCAGTTCTCCCAAGTAGAGACAGAGGGCTTCAAAGGAGTCCTCCAGTTTTGAAAATGGGGGCCTAGAAAGAAGCGAGAAGACAGGCAAGTGGGGAGCAAATCTAGAGTGAGTCCAATAGGACAGCAGTGGACTATCTACTGCAGTGTTTCACAAACTGTGTTCTGTGGCACGCCGATGTGCCGCGAGGCAGTCGGAAGTGTGCTGCAGAGAACAGAGTTCAAAATGGCCACCCTTAAAGGGGCAGGCAACTTTTTTTGGCTCAACTTCCCCCAACCCTTCCCCCCCCTCAAAACTTGCCGCGGAGAACAACAGAGTTCAAAATGGCCGCCCTTAAAGGGGCAGGTGATTTTTTTTTTTTTGCTCAATAACTTTCCCCTGACCACCCCCCTTTTTTTTGTCAATAACTTCTCTCCCTACCCTGCCCTTTTTTTCTCAACAAAAAGTCCTTGGTGTTCCTCATAAAAAAAAATTGTTTGGTGTTCCTCGGTCTTAAAAAGTTTAGGAAACACTGCTCTACTGGGACAGACAGTGATGGGCAAAGACACCATCACACTCATCTCCAGGAAGTGAGCACAGCAACTGACATGCTCTGGATATTCGCCACCATCTGTCATCTCATTCTGACCCATTTCGCAGAGCGACACCCTCAACAGTGGGGCAGAAGGAGCGTGCATGCTCCAGCTTGAGAGAAGCAAAGGTACAGTGTGGACAGAGAAGAGCAGAGATTAGTGCCTCACAGGGGTTAGCAGCATTTCTCCCCTACCTGCTCTCTGGCGCCACACTGCAGCAAATGACAGCCAGAGGGAAGAAGACTGGAGGGCAATCGGCAGGAACAAACTTCTCCCAAAACAGCTTTCCATTGAGGGAGACAGTCAGGGTCAGCATACACCTGCCCTATGATCTAGAGGGGAAAGAACTGCTCAGGTACAGTAACTAAAGCAATAGAGAGCAATGAGGGCTGACATGGCTAGGTAGGGCCTTCGGGAAGCAATACAATTAGCATCTGATTATAGGGCAGGGTAAGAAAGCTAGAACTGAACCAGTCCAAACCTACAGCAGGACCTGTGGTGTGAAGGAATACAGGCAAACCTTGTAGGCAGCATGGGGCTAAAAGTCTTTCTGCAATAGCAAGGAGCTGGTCCGCCCGGTCTAGAATAGAGTGTGAAAGGTTAACAAGTAAACAGGACCCTACACGGATGACGTTTACCAGTTCGGGTTAGCCAGTAATCTATGGGGGCTGGAGCAGCTCCCCTGCTGACACAAAGCCCTGTACGGGGCCTGCTGTAGACTCAGGCTGCACTGGGCCTGCCCTGGATGGGCTGCTCCAGCAGGGGTTGGGATTTTACATTCCTAGTTTAGAATCCCACCTCTGACAGTGGCCAACAAATGGTTCGGAAGAAGGTGCCACAAATCCCAGAGCAGAGAAATGTGGGATAAGCTGTCTCCTTGTGAAGGTTTCATGAGGGCTTGAACTGCAGCAGGGGAGGTTTAGGTTGGACATTAGGAAAAGCTTCCTGTCAGGGTGGTGAAACACTGGAATAAGTTGCCCAGGGAGGTTATGGAATCTCCATCTCTGGAGATATTCAACAGCAGGTTAGACAGACATCTGTCAGGGACGGTCTACATCAGGGGAGGGCAAAGAGGCCTCGTGAGCCTAATCCGGCCCACCAAACTGATGGATCTGGCCTGTGGCTGCCCTGCCACTCCCCCGCCCCCAGGCCAATCCAGGACAGAGGAGCACATGACGTTTCCTCACCCTCACCTTCCCCCCCTCCCCCATGAGGCCCTGCCCCTTCAGGAGCAATCTGGGGCCACTTCAGAAATTTCTGAAGTGGTCCCTTTTAAAAAAAATTGCCCACTCTGATCTAGACAGAGCGTGGTACTGCCACAAGAGCAAGGGACAGGGCTCAACCTCTCGAGGTCCCTTCCAGTTCTATGATTTTATCAGCCAGATTGATTTAAAACCTAACATGAGAGGTTATTTCTCTTCCAATTCTCTGTTATCATTAAGTATTATAATGAGATGTCCTAGTCATACGAAATCCAAATCCTCTCCAAATGTTGCTAAGTTGGTGGCCTCAAGCACAACACGTGCCGGGTAGCACAACACATTCCACAGTGTAATTATGTGTTATGTAGAAATTAATTGTATCACTATTTCCAAGTTTGTTTTCAGTTTCATTGAATGTCCCCTTGCGTATGGGTTATGAGGTGGCAGCCCCAACTCCAGTACAGAGCCCCTTTCTATTGTGGATAGGAGGAGGAGGAGGAGATAAGACAGGACCCAGATGACAATAGGAAGGCTTCTTGCTCAGACCCCTTAGGAACGCCATATGGCCTGGACCTACCTCGCAGAGAACGATCCCAAACGAGAAGATGTCCACAGTCTCGTCATAACACTGCCCTGCAGGAAATACAAACAGGTGACTTTGGGAGCTAGGAGGTTCCAACAGCAGCCAGGTTGCTTCGGAGATGGAACAGGAAGCACAGTGGAGAAGCAGGGACGGAATCATTAAAACCAATCATTTCACTGCCATTACACACACTTAAAATGGATTCATGTAACACAGCCTCAGTGTCAAGGGAAGAAAAAAATGCTCAAGAGAGTCCTAGATAGGTCACCACGGTTCAAGTGACTGCTGATGTCAAAGCCAAGAGCCTTTGCCGTTGGCACAGATCATCCTTGCAACACATCTCTGCGGTACAGTGCCAGCTGCAAAGGAAGCTAGATCCCCTCTTTGCTGCTGCAGGGACTGCAGAGGTAATAAATTAAGTGCTAATGATCTTCCTCAGACAGCAGAGGGCTTTGAGACAGAAAGCAGGCCTCCGTAAGTGGACAAGATCCATTGGGCTGACTTCACCTGGGAGAGACAGAGAGACAGACCTCCCTCTGCAGCCAGGAATGGAAATGTGGCAGGGCCAAGCAAGGGCTGGATCTGGGAAGAGCTGCCAGGATATTACGTTCAAGCAGACTTTACCTTTTTTAATGTGTTCTCTCGGGGGCATAGCTGGCAGTGCACTTGGCAAGTGCCAGGCTTGCTACAGGTTAGCATTCCTTCATCACATCAGGACACCAAAGCGCCCGACAGCAGACAGCCCAATGGAAGAGGGCAGCTCCAAAAGGGGTAGTTAAGAGCAGCAGGGCACTGGGGTGAGGATGAGGAGGGTAAAAGCCATAAAACTGGAGTCTCCTCTTTCCCAAGAGATTCCTGAGCACAGCAGGAAGTCAGCAGAGAAATACTTTTCAGATAATCACGCCCTGTTTGCCCTTTCTGGGGGATTTAGTGGCAATTCTAGTTGCTCATGTGTTTGCTTTGCTGCCAAGTCCTGGTCATCAGGAGCAGCCAAGTGGCATTCTCCCTTCACTTGGCCCATCAAGGATACATCTTCCCTTAACCCACAGCAAATCTGACTAGGGATGTTAAGTATTAATTTACTAGACGTTAAGGAAGGGAACTTTAAGGGCTCACTTCCAGCTCAGGCTGCATCTGAGCACAACTCTAAGTAGACGCTCTGCAC